TTTAACCATCTGATTTCAGTTAGTTACTTTCTTGCACTTGCTTTACATTTCTGTGTCTAGTTAAGATGTGTACATAAAGTCTATTGTATTTAGTTATCTGTAATAGGAATCAGACTACAAATAACATGATGCCTCTCCCTATATCTTTTTTTATTACTAATAGAGAAAATTGGGTTTTTAAGTTAAAACGGTTTGGAAAAGGTTGTTGGTGTGAGTCGTAAACCAATAACGACTTTGAGTTAGGTATTAGCACATTAGTTTCTGTTTCTCAACTCGTGAAATATTAAATCAATAATAATTAATTTTTATAAAAAGTTTTAATTTTTTATTTATAATTGAAAAATATTTGACCAAAAAAGCCAACTTGTGAAAAATATGTTGATATCTGGGAACTCAATAGCCATTTATATAATATTTTAGATTAAATATTTTAAGAAAATTTTAAATTATATTAAAAAATCAATTTAATTTATAACTTTTTATTATGTTCAAATAAATTTTTAAAATTTTATTTTGAATCAAACAAGCCCCTCTTACTAATTGTTGACTAATTTTTATTAGTCAATACTATAGTCCGTAAATTTTGATGTCTTGTTATTTAGCCTATGATAGGTTGATGTGTCATGTTCATGACGCGTAGCAGATGACTTGACATAAAAAATTATTGGCTCAAAATTAGGTTTTTTTTCTTTTCAAATATTTAAAAATTATTGATTCGGGATTTGATTCAAAATTTTTTTAAAAAAACTAATTATTTCAAACCAATTACTATCTTCTTAATTAAAACCATTCTTCCTAACAAAAAAAGCTTAATATAATTTTTTTTTATTTGATTGAAGCTATTATTGCTTGATTGAAAGTTGGTGTAGAGAAATATGAGAATATCTAAAAATAATTTTGAGAAGAGGAAGGGTAAAGGTAGAACATACAACATTTATAATACTGAAACTAGTAAAGACACACAATATTGTTCTATGATAAAAGAAAGTCAAATTCTTCTCTTCTCTTTCCTAGAATTTGTAAGAGAAATTTAATGTTTTTCTCTTTTTTAGAATTTGTAAAAAAAAGTCAAATTCTTTTATTCTCTTTCCTAGAAATTGTAAAAAAAATTCGATGTTCTTCTCTTTCTTAAAATCAATGAGAAAAATCTGATGATGTTAAATTTATTTTCTAACAATAATAGATTTTCTCTCTACATCTTTCACAATTTTTAAAAATTTGAGACTACTTAAAAAATGAATTTTAAAAAAAGAATAAGAATTTGTAAACAAGGAGAAGGACTAGGTACTTCTGTCTACGCTTTTAGTTCTCTCGTCTTAAGGTACTACTTTGTTTCTTGGCCTTCTGTTTTGTAGAAATCTGTTTTTATTTGAATTTTTTCCCTTTTCTTTGATTCTTTTTGTTTGTTTTTGCGTCTTATACTTTCTTTTCTATTGTTGAAGAGTCCAGTGCTCAATCGGAGGTTGGTTTTCCTCTTTTCTTTGTTTCTCCAGAGTCTTTATTTACAGTTTTTAAGGGTAAAGACTGGTGTTCTGTTATAATGTTTGGCTAGAAGGAAATTTGCAGATAAATCAAGGGAGATGATTGAAACAACGGATTATAAAGATCCAGGGCAAAATATTAACCCCAAAACTGGGTATATGTTTAGCCCTCCTCCACAAGGCTAGTTGAGAGAAATACATGCAGGAGGGGTTCTTTTTCCCTGAATTATGTTTCAATGAAGCAGAACCAAAAATGGTTTGAGAAAGTTAGAATTTCACTTTCGTTGATTTGCGTTATGTCTTTGTTTTCTTGTGGAAATTATGGTTTTCCTTTTCATGTTAAATGTGCCATGTAAGAAAATGTTACGCTCTCTGTATATGAGCAGTAGACTTGAAAATGACAGCTTGTTCTGTTATTAAAATTGAAATTACTGCACTGGGGCTTGTTATCACATAAAAAAAGAGTTGATTATGGCTACAAGCCTAACAAGGATTGCTTCCAAATTGAATACTGCCAAAATAACTTTGGCTCAGAAAACATATAATATATATATGGTGTAAATGACAAAATATCCCAATTTTCAATAGCCCAAAGTTTTTATTTTATTTCTGCCTAAGACAAAATTAAATGATTTGAATTTGTGATAAAGTGCCTGTTA